CCTAAGGTGGGACTAGAACTCACCGTCTCCCGGTGATTGGCCAAAGACACCCAGCCAACTTTCATGCCTAAGGTGGGTCTAGAACTCACCGTCTCCCAGTTTCTAGCCTCATGACATCTTATCTTGCATCTTATCTTTGACACAATATTTTTAAGTAATAAAAAAAGTTATATAAATACAATGAATTGAAGAAATGAAATGAAACCTGAGGCCCATCAAGGCCATTATGGAAAGATTCCTCCCATTGCCTTCTGAGAAGGAGTGCACGTGTCATACTAAGCTGAAATGAAATGTATTTGCATTTGGTCATTCAACGACCTGTGTTTTACTCAAGAAATCATGTTAAGGATATTTTAGGCAAACATGTCGTTTGCTCTTAGTCTGAATCTTCTTTGCTGCTCAGAATTGCTGCTATAGTTCTAAATTTGCGATTTGTTCTCTTTCCAGATGAGGTAGAAATAAAAAAGTGTACTGCAACCACCAATACCAAGTGTGCTTGCATGAATGGTACCTTCTGCCTACCTGACCAGCCATGTGAAACTTGCATTAAATGTATGACAAGGTCAGCATTATTTCACACCGCTTAAAACGCTTTAGAAATAATTTGGCAGTCTCTATTCTGACACCCAAAAAATTTGAGAGAGGTTTGGAGAAGGTGGATGAAGATCACAGATCTTTGGGGTGGGAAGAAGAAGCTGGCGGGGGGGGTGGGGGTGGAAAAATAAGGAGGTTCTGCTACCACAACCTTCTAATTTCCAAGCTTTGAGCAATCCCTGATGAGGCATTCATAAAAAGAACTGAGCTTTTAAGATTCTGAGTGACACTTTGTGAAGCAGTGGTTTTGCACAGATTTATGTTTGGAGGTATTTGTAAAAATGAAGGAGGAGGAGCAGGAGCAGGAGAGGAGGAGGAGGAGGAGAAGAAGAGGAGAAGAAGAAGAAAAGAAGAGGAGGAGGAGGAAGAGAAGAAGAGGAGGAGAAGAAAAAGAGGAAGAAGGAAGATGAACTCCTACTGAAAAGGCTACTGTATCTACTCTGGAAAGATTGCCTTCACAGATAAGAGAATTCTCTGCTTTAAGAAATCGATATCAGGCACATTAGTCTTGTTGACAACTTCTTGAATACATAACTTCTACAGAGTGGTGAAATTGGCCTGTCCATCACTAGATGGCGGTCTATCCCAGTAGCATAATGGAAGGTGTATCTAAAAAGAACAATTCCAGTGACTGCCACACAACCCAGCTCTTGTGACAACTCCCATCTGCTTTTTTGTTGTTGTTAGTTGCAGAGTCTTGTCCGACCCATCACGACCCCGTGGACAACGTTCCTCCAGGCCTTCCTATCCTCTACCATTTTTTGGAGTCCATTTAAGCTCACGCCGACTGCTTCAGTGACTCCACCCAGCCACCTCCTTCTCTGCTGTCTCCTTCTTCTTCTATTGCCCTCAGTCTTTCCCAGTATTACTTAAGTGCTTATTTTGCTGATATATGTATATTCTTACAGCTTGGAAATGTTCTAGATTGCCAAATATCCTAGAATCTTAGGATAGGTTATCTCAAAAGGCGCTTCTTTCAAGAGGCAACTGGAACTTTGGTTTTTCTTTGAAGATGTTTCGCTCCTCATCCAAGAAGCTTCTGGAGAAGCTTCTTGGATGAGAAGTAAAACATCTTCAAAGGAAAACGAGTTGCCTCCTGAAAAAAGCACCTTTGGGACAACCATGACCTGGATGACTGAGAACCTCCCTAGACGTTTAGGACAGGTTACCATCAGTTAGCTGTTGCTTCTAGTGGTTCAACACTTGAGTAATTTGAATTGATTCTTGTTCAGTCTGAGAGGTGACCAAATCCTTCAGTGTCCATTTTCTTTTTGTGTCCATAGCTGTGGTCCTGGAGAAAGAAAGGTAAAGGATTGCATGCCTACAAGTGACATCCAATGTCTTCCTGATGCTACCTCATCATCTCCAACAAGTAAGTTCCTTGCATCCTGGTGGACCAGTAGCAATGAACGTGAGAATATGGTGCTAGTCCTAAAATGAATGTTCAGACAGAACAATATGGAAATGTAACAAAATAGGGCAACGATGAGAGCTTCGGGTTAGAATACTTCCTGACCAGATTATTTGATTCCTGCTATCCTCTGGCTTTTGAACTCGCAACCGTCCCTTCCCTGGAAGAGAACCAGCATTCTGTATCTGCTGAGCAGGCACCGTTCTTTGGAAGTTGCAATCATATTAGATTTTGATTGTTAAAGAGAGGGATAGGGGGGAATTTAGATTAAAGAGAAAAAGATGTTTATGTGCTTGTGTTAGGTGTTTTTGTTGATTATTAATGGACCTTTACTGATTCCTAAGGAGATTTGAAGATTTAGAGATGAATTCTAGAAAATGGGGTGAGATGTGGAATGAAGATGCACCTGATTGTATTTTAAGAGATATATTGTTAATGTGGGGCCTTGACCTTGGTTGTTTTCTTGCAGACATTTCATTACCAAATAAGGTAACATCATCAGTGCTAGTAGGGAGCAGAGTTTGCTCTCATTTTATATACTGGTGGCTTGCTTGTCAGTGTTGGTAGGAGTTGTTTTAGTAATTCCTTGATTGGCTGTTGTTTACTGTTAGATTGTTTGTCTGGGTTGGAAGTTCCTTAATCGGGGTGTTGTTGACTTCTTGATTGTTAGTCTAGTGTTAATCTTGGGGCTAATCTCTGCTTTAGACCAATCAAGCAAACAATACCCCAATCAAGGACCTTCCAAAGACAAACAACCTAACAGTAAACATCAGCCCAATCAAGGAATCTCCAAAACCACTTTAGTCTCCAGACTTGGCTTTTATGAGTTTCTCCTCAGATGGGGCCGATTCCAGAAAGAGGGTTTGCAGATTAAAGTCATTACATCAGATTTCACTGCAAGCCTCTCAGAAGCCAGTTTGAAGAAGCATATCATCCAAATGATCAGATACAGATTAACAGAGTTGGAAGGGACCTGGTAGGTCAACTAGTCCAACCCCCCACCCACCCACCCAAGCAGGAGACCCTACACCATTTCTGACAGACGGCAGTCCAGTCTCTCCTTGAAAGCCTCCAGGGATGAAGTTCCCTCAACTTCCGAAGGCAAGTTCTGTTCCTTGGGTTGATTGTTCCTCCTTTCAGAAAAGTTCTCCTTATTTTCAGGCTGAATCTCTCCTTGGTCAGTTTCCATCCATTATTCCTTGTCTGGCCTTCAGCCGGTCTACACCTGCCCTTTTTCCTCTTTCATTTTAAGGTTCCCCTGGAGCAGGAGATCATGGATTGGCCTGGCTTTCTGTGATTGCTGTGGTTGTTGTGCTTGCTGTGGTGTTGGTTCTGGGCGTGATATTCTGTAGGAAAAGAACCACAACCTTTAGAAATGGTAAGAATAATCTTTTTGTTTTCCCTGAGACTTAAAATGGCTAAGCTATTTAGCACAGCCCTTGCTATGATAGTGTGATATGTAAAGAACTTTTTTTTAAAAAAAAAGTTTTTATTGTTTTTTGACATACAAACAAACAGACAAAACATAAAAACATCAGCTCCCCCATATTTATATACAAACAGTGAGTCGGTTGGTTCATCAGTTTTGTGCACTCATCTCATAGTCACAATTACAATTACCTTATATAATAACTCTTATTGTCAATACAAACTTATAAATCATAATATCACTATTAAAAAAAGAAGTTTGACTAGACTTTTATTCGATCATGCCTTTGTGAGATAACTATATTTTAAGTAATTTATTCTAAAACAAATCATATAATCGTGCCAATTCTATCCTAAATAAGAGAAAGAAAAAGAAAACTATTATATAAATATAATATCCAGTACCAAAAACTTTTTAACATTGGAGGGGGGGCAAAGAAGGGAGCCTCTACGGTATTTAGAAGCTACAGAGTCTAGAATTCTGCCATCCTGCTCTGCATAACAGTGTTTCTCAACTGTGGCAACTTAAAGATGTGTGGACTTCGAGTCCCAGAATTCTGGAGAAAAAGATGGACAGAACTGATGCATAGCTCTTAATCATGCCCAATGTCTTCCCTTCCTTCTTTTCTTCTCCATAATCATTGCTGCAGATGTCCCAGTGTAATTGTTCCCTTGTTTTGAACATTTTTTTTATCTGCAACACCCAGGGTCATTGGGAGTTAAGTGGCAGAATTAATAACAATAATAGCAACAACAATAATATCCCACTAGCATCCTGACTCCAAATCTTCCTTTCCTTTCCTTTCCCCTTCCATCCTTCCTTCCTGTCCAACCTGCTGAAAAGTATAATGACAATCTTTCCTTTCCTTCCCTCTCCTTTCTTTCCTTTCTCCGTTCCTTTTCTTTCCCTTCCTTCCTTCTTTCCTTCCTTCCTGTCCAACCTGCTGTAAAATATGACAATCTCTTCCTTCCTTCCTTCCTTCCTTCCTTCCTTCCTTCCTTCCTTCCTT